GAGATTTCTCCTAATTCCATTCTGGAACAATTGTGGAAGGAAGCCATACCATTTAGATCTGCTCTTGACAAGCCCTGGTTAGCCAGCAACTCTTCTGTGAGCATTTTCTAGATATTTAGAAATGGTATACCCGTTTTAGCGTTCTTTTGATATTACTATCTGATCTAGCTAATAAGGGAGTTCCCCATTTCTAGAAGCAGGAGTTGTATTTCCTTCTTTTTTCAATCCTCTAGGATCTGTTATTAGTCCTCTACAGCCTTCAGTAACAACCTGCTTTGAGATGCCTCACCAGATCTCCTTGTACCCAAGAATGAGTTTATAGTACTCCAGCTGCAATTTTTTTTGTTTTTTTAAAGTCTAGGCAGAGTTCTCAAATATTGATGTTAACCATGTTATTCACCCAACTGCCATGAAAAACACAAGCAAGAGATGAAAGATATTGGTAGGCCTCCTACTGAAAAGGATAGGAAGACCATGCAAGCCTTTAACATTTAACAAAGGGTCTCTAGAAAGCTATTACACCCCTAACACTCCAGGTAGTTGCAGCTCATTTTGCAAGTCAGGCTTTTGTTACTGCACCTCTGTAAAGAAAGTATTGAATAATAGTTGAGCATATTCTGTCCTTATAGCAACAGATTAAGGGAGCAAAAACCACTTGGGAGAGGCAGACAGCACCTGCAGGCACTGCTGAGCACAAGAAATCAGCCTTGCAAGTAGGGCTGAAGTAGAATGCAAGGACTACAAAAGGCATGGCACTGGACAGGAAGTTTGAGAAATCTGTTTCAATGGGACAAACATAAGATATGTGATTAAATAAAAACAAAGCCACCAACATTGTAAAACCAGAATTTTGTCACATGTAGTTCAAAAGTAATTCTAGAGTAAGACAGTTAAAAGCACACAGGTTAAACAATCAACTTAAAAAGTTTTAAAAACTGTATGCTTGCTTTGTTCACCTTGCACTAATTCACATTAGAGTACTATTAATAATCCCATTTCTAATTCATTTCAGTTTGTCTACACATTCTAAAGAAACTTTTGTATCACAGCTGTGTGAAGACTTGCATGTCCCAGGACAGAACCTAGGTCCTTACCATAGCTCCAGAAGCTGAACACAAGCTGAGCAGTGTTACAGATTTGACCCTTTTTGTTTTGCTTTGGGAGAGAAATTAAAACATTCAAATGCAACAGGAAAAGTAGAAAGATTTCTGAAAATACCATCATCCTGGCAGGAATATGGCAGTGTAGCCCAGATACAAGGCATATCTGGACTTCTGCCAAACCCATACCACTCTGCATCACAGGGAAGTGAAAGATTAAGCTGTTAAGCCTACTGACAGTTTATGAGTGGTACCAAACACATTCAAGTCAGCAGTTTTAATCCAGGAAGGAGACTGTTCATTTGTAGTTTCTCTATATTCACTTTGATAACTTCATAAGGTGATTGAGCCTAAGCCATTAGATCAAACTTCATTCTTCTCTAGACAGTTTAATGGAATTTAACAAAGTACTTCAAATCATGCAAAAACATACAACAAGGATCAATCATCACAGCTTGGCAGTGTTGCTGCTTTGACAATCCTTCCTACTACTTTGGGCTGGTGAAGTCAATCAGTAAGACCATTTGGTCTGCCACTGCAGGCTTTAAAAATAAAAAGATTACAGCAGCCAAATACTTTGAGGCCAGATATGGATAAAGGTGTTGTTTTGTTTTTTTTTTTTTTGGGGGGGGGGGGGGAAAGACGACTGCAATTTCCCATCTTTGCAAGATCCAGCTAAGTTGCTTTTGCTTTCCTTATGGATGTAATTTTGCTCATTATTCACTAAATCATTACTTTTTCTGAATGGCCTCTACAATGACAAAAACCTATCACCTAGACCCAGCCATACCACAAAATCGTTTCCCACATCAGGTCATTTTGAGACATCAGGCCATTCCCTACTTATTTTCCTTTTCTTTGGTGAAAGCTCACCAAAAGAAATGGCAAACTTCACAACACCGTAACTTCCTCAAAACAAGGAGTACCTGAACTTGCCCAACAGATGATGTACAGTTACTGCTAATAGCATATCCTTTAACAGTCTGCAGTCATTTAGCTACTTTAAAGATCTGGTTTTAGTATAATATTTAATCCAAGAACAGCTCTAAATTACTTTAGAACAAAGCATGGAGGGTAGATCCTTGCTATGAGAGTTAGGCTGAAGCCTCAGAGCCATTACTTAAGTTACCTGCATGTTCATACAAGTTGAAGAGGAAAACCTTTTTCCAACTTTTCTATTTATAAATGCCACTGCAGATTTTGGCAACCAAGTAACTATTGGCACCAGCAGATTTCTATACATCTCACACCCATGTTTTTCTCACATTTTCATTTTCTTTCTGAATTAAAAAAAAGGACATTGTTTTCACATGTTGAATGACAGTGGCAACTGTCCAAAAACCAGGATGAAGGAATCTAGATTATAATTCAATAGCACCAAACATAGCAGTTTCTTTTAAATAACAGCTTCCTTTGTACTGCTGACGATAAAGGTCATGTCTGTAAGCCTTGCTTATTTTCAGTTCAGCATCATTTTTCTACAGAAAGTATTATCCATTTGGGTTAAAAGCAGTATTTCTAATGTAGCCTAATAACTATTACAAAATACAAGCTAAAGATATCTGTGTGAGCAAGCTCAAGCTACCAAATCACATTTAAAGAGGTAGCCAAGAACCTTCTGCAATACTGGAAATAGAGTGGCCACACATAGAAAGGCCATTGTTTTCCTTCAACCTGATCACAGATCTACCACTTCAGCAGACAGGTGTTAAGAAACAAGGCAAATGGCATACAATCCATCTGAAACATTAAGTCCCTTATTTGTTCCCCCAGTACTTTCTTTCAGATGAGAGAATCCAACAAAATAGGGAGACTTCTGGTCAGAGTCCTTCAATAGACTCAGTGTTATTTTTGTGAGCTTTATTTACCTAGGCAGGTTAGAAGGGTGCACCTAAATTTACAACATTAGATGTTTCTTCACATAAGTGACATGCTGTAGGGAAAGGCTTTGCTCATATGAAACTACCTATTGACAGACACCTTAAAAAAAAAAAGGTACCATAGCCACCCAGCCCCCCCATCTTCAAAGGTTTTGTATTCCCTTCTTTAAACCTTCCTCCTCCTCTTCAACTTGTCTTCCCAGACACAGCTGGTATCACAGAGAAATGAAAGCTGAAAAGGAAACTGCACCACCCCTTTTCACCCACCCCACCCCCCCCCAAAAAAAAAGGGTACTGTTTTGCATTTGTTTAAGCCTGTTGCTTTTTCACCTTTATTCAAAGGCTCCTTGCATTCTAAAATCAAACATTCACAGGCTCCTAGGACACTCCTTTGATACCCACAAGACTCCAGAAACCCTTACATGAATCAAAATTCATTAGAGTAGGTTCTCAAGGGGAAAAATGTGTTCTTGGAAGGCTCAAGGGAAGGAGTACTCAGGCAGAAGTGATACTGGCCCAGCTCTCAACCACAATCTCTACTTGTAACCTAAAAAAAAATCACCAATGGCAGTAGGGACGCACAATACTTGAAATCACAAGCAAAATATTTAATGATGTGAAAAGATCCCAAATAACATTAAATAGAAATATTCTTTCTTACAAAAAGGAAGCCATGGTTTGAACATCTGCCTTGGGGGGCGGGGGGGGGAACTTTTAAGGGAGGTTTTATAGCTCTTCAGAAGTGAAACTGCACATGCACTGAAACACTCTGCTTCATATACTGGAATTTACAGTTTTCAGTCAGATTTGAGAGCTATAGCCCACCAAATCTTCTACAAGTCAGCAGCATCTGATGGAAGTTTCAGTGTGGTAAGAAACCACTCTGGTGCAATGATTTAGGTCTTACTTGTTATCTGTCATACCCCACTGTCAGAAACTTCAGGCTCTCCAGCAGGAAGGGACTTGTTTGCATGTCAGCTGCCACAGCTCACAAACTGGCACTTCAATCAACCCCAGCTTAGCTCTAAGACCAAAGCTAAGCAACCTGCATCCTGTTTCTGCTATTTCCATGATGGTTGTAGTAGTTACTAGTAGGAGGATGAAGCAGAATTGCTTGAACTATCACAGCTTGCCACAAATGGTATTTGTCAGCTCTCAGGGGTTCTGGCAGCCAGTTCAGTTTCACATCATTCCAAGCAAGCAGATTCAATACAGCTTACAAAGGAACCACTACACAAATCCACTCCTACAACAATGCATACAACTCTGACCACAAATAAACTCAAGAACTTACACAGGATCCCAAATCTGCAAGTAGACCTGTCCCATTTCTTCAATAGCCAGTGTAAAAATAACACCCATTTCCCCTTGACCTACTGCATTAGATGCCTGAACTTTTACAAGGAAACAATCAACTCCTCTTGCTACCACAAAGGCTACTTAGGCTTCATCATAAAGTTAAGGGAACATTTCAGACTCTGTTCTCTCAGATTTTAGGGACTAAAAAACATTCACGTGGGGTAGAAAGTTTAGGTTGGGGTTGCTACTGGTATCTCCATTACTATCAAAAAAACCCCTTTTTTCTTGGAAAAGCAAAGTTTACTATATTTTGGTGATCAATACATATATTTGAGTGTTCCAGCACTGTGAGCACTTCCTAGTCCTAACAGTCCAACAAGCAAGTTCCCCTTTTTGAGGGGAACAGAGAGTATATAGAGATCAAAGCTTCTAAGGATTTTGAAAAGAAAAAAAGAAAAAAAGATTATTGTCATTTGATAAAGGATTACATGAAGCATATCTGTTCAGTCCTATACCCGCAACAAATAGAACAGGATTGCAAAACAGTATGAAGTATATGCAGTTCTTACACATGTGAAATCTACTTCAGATCTACTTCTGTCCATGGCTTTGTATAGATTTTTTTTCCATTTTAAAGTAGACTTTTTAAAAATAGCAACATACACAGAAAATAGGAGAAAGATCGGTATTCAAAAAAAGATACTCAAGCATGCAGACTTACTTGCATTCCCCAGGTGTACTGCAACCCCCATGGAGCAAATTACATCCTTGTTTACATACAGCTGTAAATAGAAAAAGGTTTAGGCATCAGTCTGGGCAGCTAGGTATCCATTAATACAGCAGCAATCTGGAACTGTTCAGCTAAGGCTTCTGTTATTTAGCCTATTTGTTGCTTGTGCAAAGCAGACTGTCTTTTGTCATGTTCCAATAGTTGTTGCTTCCAGCTAGCTATTGCACAAAACACAACCCCATTACAACTGTTTATGAAAACTAACTTAACTTAAGGAAAGTCCTTGAAAAAGTTGCTACCAAATAGGTTTGCAGCAAGTGTCAGCACTGAAACATTTATCAAATACAGTTATTTCTTAAACCTGGTATTAGATGGGATTTCCAGCATAATACCAAAGCTTCAAAAGATACACATGACCTTGAGTAAGCCCTAAAAATGGTCTCCCCTCCCATTAACAGGCTTTTTACTGAAAAGGAACAGAAAACAAAAACAAGAAGCCCTCAACAGAAGAGTACATCAAGTAATTTTAGCACTAATTACTCACTGAGAGCGAAGGCAAAATGTAAAGGGATTTGACTGAGTACATTCAACAGGATGACTACACTTGAATTTCTGTTCACATTAACAGCTATCAAAAAGCTTCAGCTTTGCGTACATTACACTTAAACTTTTTTCATTTGCGAAAATAGTATTGTGAGGGCGTTTTTACAGGATTAAAGTCTACAGTATTACTGATATCACTGTTCAATAGAGTCTTATGTTAACAGATGTAATACATCACATCACTTTGAAGTAACACCACCACTGAATAAAGTAAATTAGTAAAGAGATGTTTCACTATTTCAAATCTTAAATTTGTTGTGTAGCCCCCATAGCACATACTGCAAGCAACACTGCATCCTGCCCTGGGCTCCACTCTTCACAGAGGATGGTTTTTTCAAAGATTTGTATTCAAGAGACAAAGTCTGTATGTGTTAAAATTACTATGCTACAGCACTGACACTGCAGAAGTACATACTGCAGTTTATACCTATTATATATACACATTAGAGCCAGTCTAAAATGAAGCAAACAATACTACCTTGTTTACATTCTTCTCCCATCCAACCTTCCATGCAGGCTTTGTTTCCATTTTGATCACACGTGTAGTGACCAACAAAATCATCTCGAGGGCCACAAAATTTATTGCACAGAGCACTGTAGTAATTTTCATCACATTTCACTCTTATTTGTACTTCAAAATGGGCAACAGGACCATTAAATTGTAGTGTTTTCCATCGATCTTCTGGGTTGATCATGCCAGCATGTGCCACTCGTTCTATTAACAAGTCTTCACCTTTTTAAAAACAGGTAAATTCAACAGGTGATAAGTTTGATAGCACACAAGATCATATAAATTCAAATCAAAAGTATTCAACTGGTTAAGAGAAAACCTAGTAAAGAAAATGTTAAGATGATAAAGATCTACTGTATAACTGAATTTTCCTTTGCCTTGTGAAGTTCATTACAGGAAGGCCAATTTAAAAAAGTGTCCCAAAGGAAATATTAAAAAACCCTGGAACATAATCCATAGGAAATAGCTTATTTTTCAAGGCAGCCAAACATACCACACCCACACACTGGCAACCAGCAGCTTTATCTTGATCTGAGGCTCTCTTTGCCTCCTTTTTGTTCTTATAAAATTGCAAAATCTGCATAACCTAGTAGCTGAGAGATTAAAGTTCTCTGGTGCAAGTTTAGTTTTAAACATAAAGCAAAGCACATAGTAATTTTGTAGCAAATTGAATAAGCAATAGTAAATGCTCTAGTAGGCTTCCATTACGCACATAAACTAGCTTTTTTTTTTTTTCCATTTTATCATTCTCTCTACAGTAAAGGCAAAACATCTTTAACAGTCATTTCATAGAACACTTTGTGCAGCTAGTATTCAGCATTTTGAGAAGAAATATACAGGTGAACCCAGGATTGTCAAGGGGCCATTCTCAACTCTGTATCCTGCTTATCCTTATCCCCAGTGGAACTACTGATAATAATTAATCACTGTTGCAATACACTCTATAAGCATCCTGCCTTGCCCTCACAGAAAGCGGCAGCACTGCTACTGCCAGGCGCCATTAACTGAGACCAAATATGCACAAAGTATTAGCTGTCACATAGGACAAGAGGAATTCTAGGATATAAGATTATGGAACTGCCAACACAAGTATTTTCACTTTTATGCATATCCATTTTATATTTATCCATTTTATTCTTGGTATAGAAGCTTCAGTACTAGGAGATACAACACAATTATAGTCAGTACAATGAAATTACACAATTGCTTCAGTAAATATTAAGAATAAGCAAAGCACAGTAAGAGTAAAGGTAGATAGTGAGTAGCCCCAGTGATAAATTTTCAAATGTTTTCACTATTCAAGTCTGGCAACACCCTACTGCAAGAGTTTTTCTAGGTGACTCTGCAAGCTGCAGCTGAAACTCCAAGCACTATTTAAAGACAAGAAAAAGGTACACAAGCTCCACTTGTATACATGAATTTCATACCCATTTATGAAACAGCTATAATATTGCCAGCTCAGCGCTTCAGCATCCATTTTCTTTAAATAATAAAGATTCTTTAAAATGCATGTTAAAAGAAACAAAGAACCAAAACCTTGCACACAGCAAGAGGCTGTAATGGGAGTGAGATAAAGTCTAAACTTCAGATTATTAATAATATAAAACATGCCAAGCTGGTATCAAACAATACTAAACTATCACTTTCAGCAAATGTGTTTCACCTACTTACTTTCTAGAACTAATTAACCTAATTGGTTTAGAAAGTAAAACCAAAGAAGAGACTGTTTCTCACCTAGGAAGTTGCTGACAGCATAGGGGTACCCTGTGCATCTGTTACCAAAGCTGCACTTCCCCCTCAGCGTGTAAAAGGACTCAAATTCAGTTTTCAGTCACTCCAACATTAATGGAAAAGCAAAGCTACAGAAGTAGTGGGCTCTGCAATGCATTTTGTTATCTTAACACCTTTTTTCAAGGTGGTTTCTACCATAAAAATCTTTGCTCTTAAAATTAAGGAATATTGAACTAAAAAAAAAAAACCCAAAAAGTTTAATTAAGCATTGAAAGGTTGTCCAACTATTAAGAACTAAATGTAACTCTCTGCTTTAATATTAGAAATTATATTGCCATGCATAGGCTACAACTCATGCTTGCCTGGACTAGTCTGCATGAAACATTTTATGGCTAGACAAGACCCACTGAAGTCTATCGCTGTTTTTTTAACTCTCAAATTCCTATACGTGAACTCCTCTGTCATTCAGCAGTACGTGGGCAGTAGCAGACAAAAAACCTGCAAGCTAGAAAATGCTGCCTGCATTTTATTTTTGACTGAACAGGATATCTGTCATACCACCAGTCACCATTAAAAGCTTCATGATTAGATTCCACATCCTTTCATAATCTTATTCTTCTCTAATGACTATTGATCTGAAAACCTTGATGAAAAACTATAAAGAAAAAAATGCTGAATCTTTGGATGGTCAAGGAATTTGAACAAATAGCAAATATGCATTACAGAGCTACTTTCCAGCCATATGCATCACGGGCTTATTAAAAACAGCTGCAACAGCCACTGCTATAAAAGTGTTTCCTCAAAGTGCTTCAGATGGACTGAAGAACAGGTCCTGAGATTAAAGGAGTGGCTTATATAATTAAAATTTTATCAAGTATCTTCAAGCTAATGCAGATTCATCAGACAGTTAAACAACTGGAACAAGCATTACAGCTATTGCAAATATACCTATGCAGAACAGTCCTCTTAATACCTGGGGTCAAGAACAGGGGAAATAACTCAATAGTGCTTTTTTGTTTGGGGTGGGTTTTTTTTTTTTTTTGAACAAACTTTATCTTCACAAACTCCTCTGAAAAAAGAACATATTCTGAGTGTTAAGAGCTCTTCCTCTAGCTTATATCAGTAAAAGTAGGCCTTAACAGACTAAATAAACAAGCCAAATAATTTACTCTGAACCACAAAAGGCATCAGCAAATCAGCTCCAAGACATTTAGTTTCTAATACTAAATTCTGAAGTACCGAAGTATGAGAATTGTGCTTTACTTCAATTTAAAACTGATCCCAAATAGAAGGTGCATCTTCCAGATAGATCTGTAATTGCAGAGAGGAACATGTTTGTCAAGGTTCCTCATTCCTCCCCCACAATGCCAAAGGGTTTCTGAAGATATTCAGTCTCTTACATTTAACTGTTTTGATGGGACAAGTTTGCTCCCTGCATCTGCTTTACCACTAAAATTCACGTTAGGAACTCATACACGTTACTTTTAGCCCTCAGTATAGGCAATGAGCTGCATTACTGAATTTCTCTGGTTATTGGTCAAAAAAGCAGCATACACTAACCTCCCCCACACGCATCTCGGAAGCAATAAGGCGTCTTGATTACTAATAAGTTTTCTACAAGTCTCTCTAGAAAAGCAGACAGTGGCACAGATGTTTGCATAAAAGGAGATGATGGCTAAAAGGTGGTTCTTTAATTAAGCATCTAATTTTTGGAAGAGGAATCCTTCTCTTCAGAGTATTTAAAAGTAACTGTGCAACCAGGAGCCATGACTACACTTAAATAAGAACACTGCTCATCAACACGCTAACTTTTAGCGGAGGTCAGACACTCCCAACAAGCCACTCACAGGGCAATACAGAAGGTGATGCTGGTAGCTATTTGCAAGGAAACACACACGGTAGCATAAGAACTTCATGCCCAAAGGAACAGAAGGTGCCCTTCTCAGGAAGTACATTGTCTTCAGCCTTTTTCAAGCAACTACTTCAAAGAGCCATAAGGACAGATGAGTCTCCTACAGACTAACATGAAAGAGGAAGACAACCACTGCACCCCCGCAGTAGACATGTAATCAAATGTGAAGTTACTTCACACATGAGGATGCAGCTTGCTTCATAATGGCAGCACTGCATCATGCATTGCCAAGACCTCTGCTATACAACTATAAGTTTGCCAAGTCAAATGACTTACCTAGAAAGTAGCATGAACTGCTGTGACAGATGACAGAGAACAGGCCCTTTACAGTGACTTTGTATCTAAGGCAGTTTCCTCTCCCCCTCCTCCCGCCTCATAAAGCAAACAAGCAGTAACACTAGACTGCCACAAGCTTCCCTCCGAGCCAACCCTGCTGCACCGAGGAGGAAAAAAAAGCACAGGAGTAGTTCAGGAATCGGGGTCTGAAAGCCCCCCGTAGAGTTCATAGTTTGAGGTAAGTACTGGGGAAACATTTGCCCTTGGCAAGCTTGTTCTTGAGATGGTACTTCACAGATCCGCTCTGAGCACCATTGCCTTGCTTTCAATGGGTACAAGCAAGAATACAGGATGCTAGGACAATACAGGGAGGGAAGAATGACAACTGTTCTAAAACCTTCAAGGTGTTAACTGGAAACCCCTCTCTCCAGGGTTTTTTTTTGTTGTTGTTGGTTTGTGGGTGTTGGGGTTTTTTTTTTGTTTGTTTGTGGTTTTGTGTTTTTAGTTTTTTTTAAATAAATACCCACTTGAAAGTCCAAGCAGGAACACAGGACCTGCATCTAGCTTTCAGCCTTACTCATCCCTGTTAAAGGAAAGCAAAACAAAACCTGACTTTGGAACTAATTAATCAGCTTATAAACAGACTCTGGCAATTACTTTGATTGATCTTTCTTACAGTAGCAACAGAAGACACGTGTAACCTGATCCAGAGATCAGCTCAATGTTCAGGATATGATAGGGATTTCAGCTTTCCACAGATATTCTCTTCACCCTTCCAGGATGCAGATACTCTTTGTCTTGTCTCTGGAGGAGTCATATTCCCTTTCCTATTCTCTTACGTATGATTTTTTTACTCATCTGTCCCTGTTTGGCAGTTCAGCAGTCCTTGCAGAAATACAAGGGAAGCATCTCTGGATCTTGACAGATTCGCAAGGCAAAACCTACTGGAGGACTCCCTGCCAAGACCACTCATAAAAAGAAAAAAAAGAAAAAGAAAAAACCCAGAAAATCTTCAGCATTAAGCAATTCTTCCTAGAAATCTAATATGCAAGTCTAAACTGCAGCATTGCAAAGCAACAGGTCTCTATCATGGAATCAGTAAACAGACTACAGAA